CCGTAGGAAGCGCTGCTGCTAAACATTCCAAAAATGTTTTTTAGAGTCTAATGCAATAGAAGAACCTTTTTATTTTTCATCCCTGCTGGAAAAAAAAAACATTTTAAACCAGCAAGCATGTTCCCAGCCTGCACTATTTGGTCACCAAGCTGGTCTTCTAGGCTGACCAACTGAAAAGTGTCCCTTTAAAACCAGCAAATTAGCTGGCCAAGCTAATAACAGCAAACCAACCAGTGTTAATTTCGTCGACGACGACGAAAAATATTCGTTAACAAACTTTTTTCTGTGACTAAGACGAGACGTTGACGAGCTAAAACTAATGATGATATAATCTGATGATGAAAAACTATGACGAAATTTATGCCGCGTCTTCGCTAACAAGACGAGACGGGACTAGAATGTTATTTGAGGACAGGGGGTCCATCAGGTCCTCGTCGCTGTCTCCCTTCATGAAGGCTGGCGTTAGGAGGCAGTCGAGCTCCTCGTCGAAGAGTTCCGAAAGCCTTTTGGGCTCCGTCTGTAGGTACCTCTCCAGTTCCAGACATGTCTGCAGGAAAAACAGAAATGCATAAACATGAGACGGTAAGCCTCAGATTCCTCTTTAAGTCCAGTGATGTTTATAGAGGGAATGCTAACCATCTGAAAAACACTGTTGGTTACAGCTGAACGTGCTACAACGAAACACGTGGCATGTCAGCACATTTCCATTTGGGATTGGTTCAGTTGGTCTCACCATGGAAGGTGTAAGTGACTAAATCTGCTACATGGAGACTTTTGGACAGAACAATTTTGGAGTGCAGCTGGGGGGCAAGATTTTCTGGGAGAGAAACTGAACATCCATGGAATTATTTCACTTGCTGCGGTTGAGGGAACAGTATTTATCCATGTAGCATAGCACATTTAGTACGGTGCTTATTGAGCGAGAAATGACCGTCTTATTACTTAAGATACCTTTCCCCTCACCCTGGTTTTTACTCTGATGAATACTTTAGCAGACAGAGGGAGGACAGAAGAGAAAGACACTGCTATCATGGCTCACTGACTGCTCACTCAGCAGTTTCTTTTTCAGTGGTTTAACATTATTGTTCCCCAGTCACAGTGGCCAGTTTGGATATTAGAGTCTCCTGTTCACGGTGTTGCGGTAAAAGCACTTTAGCAGTCAAACAGCAGTAGAGTAAACCTTCCAACTCTTTACTTCATGTCAGCTGTAAATTACAGTCGCTGTACATGCCCTATCTTAACTTATTCTGTCATCTCCTTTACCTCAGACCTAAATAAATCGTCCAAAAAGAAGATTTTGCCTAGCATCTGTTGTCTGCTGATAAGCTGCACTTTTTATTCTATTTTACTGAATTGAAATATGCATTTGCATGAGGTTTTCAAACTGGGGTCAGAAAAAAATGGAGATGTACACTCAAGAGATTAATGAAATGTTTAACCATTTTAGCAATTTTGCTTATTACTAGAAGAAAATTAACAGTAAGAAAAACAAATCTACATGACATAATATATATATACGTAACCTATTTGTTTGATATTTTAGGGAATCCCTCTCAATAGGATCATATTTGGGGTCCTTGGCATCAAAAAGTTTGAAAATCCCTGTACATATAGGCCTTTTTTTAGAGGTTGCTGTTTAAAACCTAATGCAGAAGTGTTAGAAACAGTATCAGATTAATTCTAATGCAATGCAATCCCAGCTACTGCTGCAGTGAAATATTGACCATTCAATTAACCTGAAGCCAAATGGTTCCTGTGCACTTTCTCTGACCTCATTGGTGACACCAAAAGAACAGCACTAATACTATAGCTACAATTTGACTCATGTTATGCAATACAGCAGAGCCTTCAACAAAGACTAAAATAACTGAAATGCAGTCCACTGCAGCAGCTACAATTTACCACTGCAAGCTCTCCCTCTGAGCTCTGCGTTCATTTATGATTTTTAACGGCTTACTCATAAAGACCGCCACTTCAATGATTCACTTATAAAGCCAGTCCCCTAAATGGATCCTGAATGAATCTGTTTGAATTCCAATGACTCAGTCAACTGTCGCCACCTACTGACAGTAGTGATAAAAATTCTCTGTACGGTTGGACTGTACCAGTGTTAATTTCGTCAACGAAGATTTTTTCTGTGACTAAGACAAGACGTTGACGAGCTAAAACTAATATCTGATGATAAAAACTATGACGAAATTCATGCCGCGTCTTCGTTAACTAGACTAGACGGGACTAGAATGTTATTTGAGGACTACCGGACATTCAAAATACATCCTATAGGCTTAGTTAACTGTCTTGTCTTTCAAAATATGCGTCCCTGTCATTGGATTGCAATCGGATGACGGGCGTTTGCATATCTAGTCTCAGTATGGCAGCCGCGTGGATGGATAGGCTACCAAAACGTGAACTAGCGATCTGAAACAATGGCCTCAGCACCTGAAGGGTTAGGGATAGGGTGACCGGACGTCCCGTTTTTCCCGGGACTCACAGTTCGTTGTTGATTAACTTTAGGTTAGTGAAGGCGGGATAGGCGGAATCGCGCTGATAGCGGTGCTTTCTCTCGCGCACGCTCCACCAGTCACAGTGGCCAGTTTGGATATTAGAGAGTTCTGTTCACTGTGTTGCAGTAAAAGCACTTTGACAGTCAAACAGCAGTAGAGTAAACCTTCCAACTCTTTACTTCATGTCAGCTGTAAATTAGTCGCTGTACATGCCCTATCTTAACTTATTCTGTCATCTCCTTTACCTCAGACCTAAATAAATCGTCCAAAAAGAAGATTTTGCCTAGCATCTGTTGTCTGCTGATAAGCTGCACTTTTTATTCTATTTTACTGAATTGAAATATGCATTTGCATGAGGTTTTCAAACTGGGGTCAGAAAAAAATGGAGATGTACACTCAAGAGATTAATGAAATGTTTAACCATTTTAGCAATTTTGCTTATTACTAGAAGAAAATTAACAGTAAGAAAAACAAATCTACATGACATAATATATATATACGTAACCTATTTGTTTGATATTTTAGGGAATCCCTCTCAATAGGATCATATTTGGGGTCCTTGGTATCAAAACATTTGAAATTACAGATTGCTGTTTAAAACCTAATACAGAAGTGTTAGAAACAGTATCAGATGAATTTTAATGCAATGCCATCACAGCTACTGCTGCAGTGAAATATTGACCATTCAATTAACCTGAAGCCAAATGGTTCCTGTGCACTTTCTCTGACCTCATTGGTGACACCAAAAGAACAGCACTAATACTATAGCTACAATTTGACTCATGTTATGCAATACAGCAGAGCCTTCAACAAAGACTAAAATAACTGAAATGCAGTCCACTGCAGCAGCTACAATTTACCACTGCAAGCTCTCCCTCTGAGCTCTGCGTTCATTTATGATTCTGAACACTACCTGGAAAGTGCATGAATTATCCATACACTGAAGCTTTTTTAGCCATGTTTTAGCGAGCAGGAATTTTAGCAACCGAGAGAGATCATGCACCTCTGGAATTATTCCATTCTTGTGCATTTTGTAGGCCTTATTACTTTAATAGATGCTCTGAGGACGTACCCAACCTGCATTGATAAGCACAGAGCATAAATTCTCTATGTCATGCAGCTTAAAGCAACATGCCATTGAGAGATGACAGAGGGTTGAAAGAACTTGGCATAAGCACACTATATTTTCACACACATCTGTGCAACAACATAAAAAAAAAAAACAGAAAAGGAAATGTAGATGAGGTGAATCAACTCTTCTGGACTGGCTGCTAGTGTAGAAAACCCCTTCATACCCTGCTTAGATTGTACGCACTGAGCTCCATCTATTATAAATGCAGTGCCAGGGGGTTCACAGGCAGCGCTAAGAGGCAATGTCAGACAAAGAGCGGGCAGAGAGAGGCGAGGGGGAGAATCGCAAAACTGTTATTAGCAAATATCTCGCTGATAGCGGTGCTTTCTCTCGCGCACGCTCCACTTCTTCAGTTCTCATATACAGCGCGCAAATACACACACAGCAGTCCAAATGTCTATTGTGTGAGTATCTCACGTAAATATAGTCGGTTATGGCTTAAGTGAACGTAAACAGGTGGGTGAAAACTGAATGTGTGTCAGTATTACACGCATACCTTCCATCTTAAATGGACAGCATTCCTAATTAAATACCTGCAACAACATAAAAAAAAAAAACAGAAAAGGAAATGTAGATGAGGTGAATCAACTCTTCTGGACTGGCTGCTAGTGTAGAAAACCCCTTCATACCCTGCTTAGATTGTACGCACTGAGCTCCATCTATTATAAATGCAGTGCCAGGGGGTTCACAGGCAGCGCTAAGAGGCAATGTCAGACAAAGAGCGGGCAGAGAGAGGCGAGGGGGAGAATCGCAAAACTGTTATTAGCAAATGTGGATGCAGTCCAAGTTAGACACAAAGGGGAAATTATCACCAATCTCAGTCAGTTCCTCTCACGTTCTCCGCTCCCTGCTTGGATAATAAAGTCGGCACATTATCTAAACTAATGTGTTTATATCTCCACCCGCATCTTAACAAAACTCTCTCTAATTTTTTTCACACCCTCTCTATTTTTGGGGTTGAAATTATGATGATTTTTCGCTCATACAAATAGATTTTAATTAAGCATTTTGGCTTTCATCAGATGTCGTTTGAAGTTCTACCTCTTGATGCAAAACCGATCTCTCCTGCGCTCCTCTCTCTCTCTAATTAAATACCTATCTGTGTCATTAATGTTAACCAACAAAAGATGTTAAATAAATGTATATTTGTTTAGTAAACCTACTGTATCTGAAAAATGAGTTTAATTTGTATCTCTACCAAAAAAAAGAAAATTGTCATAATTTATTCCAGTTTTTCCAAATTCAATCCTTGATTCAAATTTCTCACAAACTTAACTTATTTGGTCTAAAGAGAGAAGAATTAATTACTATTTTTGTTTGAAGTCTACATATAAAATAGCCACCAAAATAAATGTTGGTAACTGCAGTTTGACTAAAAGT